AGCTAAAAGGGTCAGGAAGATGTGGAGAGCCATGACCATCTACGTCCTGAATTGACATAGCACATAAAAGAAGAGGATATTGAGGAAAAGAGGGACAGAGGAAAGAAGCACATAACATTACTTGATGAACATGGGTAAATGGATGGTAGAATAGGGTTTGGGAGAAATAACAAAGACACAAATTTATTAAGAGCTACAAGAGGGAGGAAGATGTGGAGAGCCATGACCAACTACGTCCTGAAGGGACATGGCATATAAAAGATGAAGAATAATTTGGGCTGTCATTCAATGAGCTCCGTCTGTCTTTCTATATGGCAGTGAATACTGGAAAGTCTCCTCGCCGATGATGAATAGACTTGATGCAACAGAAATGTGGTTCTCCAGAAGGATGCTGAGGATACCAATGACTGAACATATGCACAACGCAAGTTTGTAGAGAAAATAAAAACAAAAAGGAAACTAAATCTTAACATCTGGAAGAGGCAGTAGAAATTTCCAGGGTACGGGATGAGGAAGGAGGGTTTGGAAAATCTGATACTCACGGGTCAGTTTGAAGGAAAGAGGGTCAAAGGAACAGCGCGTAACAATACTTGATGGGTTTGAGTAAAGTGATGACAAAACAGTTTTTTTTTCTAGAAATAACAAAAGGACAAAACTTATTAAGATCGACAAGCGACAGGAGGATGTAGAGGCCCGTGATCGCCTACCCACTGAAGAGACACGGCACATTGAAAATGTTAGAAAACTTGACTAAACAGAAATATGGTTTTACAGAAGGATACTGTGAATTTCATTCACGGAGCGAGTAAGCAAAGAGGAAGGCTAAAAGAAAAGGGCAACGAAAAGAACACTTATATTCAGAATAAGAAAATTCAGATGAAATGTCCTGGACAAATAATGAACAAAGTAGGCTTGGAACATTTTCTGAGGGAAAATAGGTATGTTGCAATCTAGTGATTACTGAATAGAATAATCACACGAAGTTTGATAATGAACGATAATACTTAGGACAAGAACAACACATATAAGATCCGCCGTGTAGAAGAAATAGTCAACTGCTAGAAGTGAATCAAGTGAATTACACAATGAACCTCCAACAGACTGAAGACCAAGATACAGTATTTCCTATTGTATTTATTTGAATGGGCACATATCCATTATCGATCGTAGGTATGCTACAAGATAGGAGAAATCAGAGAGCCATCGATCGGGTGAAACTGGCGTGAAGGAACAGCAGAAAGTGCAGCCGAAGCTTTATTAAAAGGTTTAAAAAAAACTGCCACAAAAAGTGCCACAAAGTATTAATTGTGGAGAGCCATGTTGGTCTATGTCCTGAATGAATGCAACACATAAAAGAAAATTTAACCCTTGAGATATTGGAGAATTATTTTATTGATTTGAAAATTTGTCAGGCTTGAGACTACTCAAGGTAAAAGATAACATACAACAAAACACTCCAGCTGAATGAAGTGTTATATGAATAGAAATATTTATAAATTAAGATTATAAATATAAGCAGGAAGAATGACCTTGACCTTAAGAGGTTGAGACGGAAGTAACTACGCAGGAGTTTGTTGCACAAAATGACAGTTTAAGCTTTCTGAATGGAACTTTATTCTTATATTTCAAACACAGAGGAAATAACCATGATTCTATTTCTTGGAAATGGCGTTGGTTGTCCGACTTGTAAAGGTCTGAATTGGTGAGACTAACTGGAACTCATGTGAAACCTTGTCAATGAAATAGCGATATAGTGGCGACAAGCTTGTCATTTTACGACTATGGGAAAGAGGTTGTAGAGTGTAAAATAAGTATTCACCCACAAAACCACGTGAACGCAATGCGTGCATTTAATTTGGGATGCGCTTATGTATATGTATGTCTGTGTCGGGCATGAGTTATGTGCTTGTGCTATTTAATACATACACAAGCAAGGGAACACACACACATATGCATACACAATTTGAGTAGAAAATAGACATTAGAATAATGCCTTCACCAACCATTCAGTATAGACAACTCCTACCCTGTGCTGCGCAATAAAATTAAAAATTTGAAAACAAGAAAATAAAGTTATTTTTAACGATAATTATAAGTTTTTTTTTTTTATTATTAAGCTTAGCAGAAATTATTCAGCACTAAATAGAATTATTTTTAAAGCTTTTTTTTTTTTAATTTTGTAGAAATATTTTAGTTTAGTTATTGAATTACAATATACATGTGAACACAACTTTAATGAAATTAAAGTGGACATCTGTGCTTTCGGGGCTATTTTTTATTTCTATCTGATAACAACACCTAAGTAACGAGAAAACTGTATAAATCGTCCTGTTGAAGTCATTTTACGTCTCCTCCTGTATTTAAACTGAATAAATGCAACAGTTTTAATGAACAATTTAGATTTGAAATTCAATCATCTAGCCGTCGGGAAAACGACAAATATCCTAGTATTACAGGGTGTCTAAAAAAAATTTACAGTGTATAGCTCACTAGTTTTCTTTTCAGATTTACACGTATTACTGTATTACTAATATCATCCAGGCTTAGCTTTGAACAAAGAAATTTCATCCTGAAATGCTACTACTGGAAGTACGAAAATGCAGTTGAAGTTCAAAGGCGGCATCAAAGAGACTTTCATTCAGATCCACCCACGCAACTTACAATCTCACGAATTAGAGATAAGTTTGAAGCTGATGGCATCGTACACTATGTACACAAGAACCGTTCCGGAAAACCACAGATATCTACCACGCCCTGCGAAGCAAGAAAGAGTGATGGAAAGTTTTCAGAGAAGTCCAAGAAAATCTGTGTGAAATGTTGATTGCTGCTGATGAATTCATTGCGTCGCTTGTCAGCAATGTCTGCCTCATAAAGGATATCAAATTGAAAACATGCGATAACAAAACCTCATCTGTAATAAATACTGTTCCTATATGTATTATTTAAATTTGATATAGTTGGTTGGTTCTTGTTGCTTGAATTATTTCTTGAGAAACTTCAAAATGTGTATACATTTTTGAGACTATCTCTCTCTATCTATCTATCTATTTATCTATCTATCTATCTTCTCAAATTCTTGATTTAAATCAACAGGATTTAAATCAATTTTCACTAGATTATGGCTTGGTGTTGAATGTCTCGTCTGTTTTCATCGAAACTCTTTCCCCTCTTTTTTAAAAAGATTAATTATTTTAACCAAATATTTGAAAGCTGTATCGTTTTATTTAACTTGCTGAAAAACAAATTTCGTTTTCGTCGTCTGAACGACTGCATAAAAACAGTTCGTCCTACATACCCTGAGCACATATAAACTTGTTGCTGAGTTGTAGTTAAATATTTGCCGAACGGATATTCTTTCCTCTCAGCAATGTGTCGATCATAACGGACATCAATTTGATGATAAAATCATAAGACCATGCATATTCTACTAAATACTGTCTTCATGTGCATTATTTAAATTACATATAGTTGGTTCTACTTGCTTTAATTACTTCTTGGGAAACTTTCAAAATGTGTAAACATTATTTTGGACACTCTCTATGAGATGAAAGCTCGCTTAACTTTACAAGCTTCTCAAAACACAGTTGTATTATGTATAATCAAAAAAGGCAGAAACTGATATATATATATATATATATATATATATATATATATATATATATATATATATATATATATATATATATATATATATATATATAAAACCGGCAACATTCATGCTTCAATGCAATTCAGGCCAGATGAAATCAAATTGTCCCCATTGACCGCAGTGTACACTTTTAGATTTATATACACTGTATCTCTGATAATGAGCACGTTTACCCATAAGTATAGCTTACCTTAAAACCAATATTTTTATCATATATATATATATATATATATATATATATATATATATATATATATGTATGGGAGGGTGAATACTCATATATATGTGTGTGTGTGTGCGTGTGTATGTACAAAATGATAAAATCTATGCGAGGGGGAATATAGTTATCATCAGAGTGGCATTTAGAATCGGCAAACCGAATTAATTTTCCAAACTTGTCTGTTGCATAAACCTTCGTCTCTTGGAAAGGGATCAACTATTTCATTTCTTCTACAGCTATGGGTTAAGTACCAGTGTAGAATGGGCTCTCTAGCTCTGGATAGCAGCCAGCCTAAAAACAGAAAGACAATTTTCATTAAAAGCTAAAAATGCAACGGGAAACCACACCACTATCTTTCCCAAGATTCACCCATAATGGAGGAAAGGATGTTTGGAGAGCCATAATCATTTATCTCCAGAAACAATGGTTCTCAAACTTTTTTTTTTTTTTTTTTTTTGCCAAATGCATTCTTTTCCCCATAAGTCAGAATGTCAATCCCATTTTTCCAAGATTGTCCGACTCAAAAGGTGCATTCCAAATAATATACACATTTTATTGAAAATCATCTTTCTTTTCATTATTGGTACATGGATTATTTTTATAGAGGAGTTTTATAAATTTAATAGCAATTAAAAATGTTGATGGATTTTTAAACTGATTACAAGTACAATAATTTATTTTTATTCATAACTAATTATTAAATAAATAAATTGAAGCAGACTTCAATAACCAAAAAGTTCAATAGTATGCCGGGATATTATAATTCAATAAACAAAATTCTATATGTGACGTCCCTAAACAGCCTTCGCTCGCTCCTCGCTGCTTCGTTCGGGTGTCGCCGCTCCAAGCGTGACGTCCGCCTGTCTGCGTCAGTCGTGTTGTCCCGTTCTGTGAAGATCAACTGGCTTGGTATTGGTCGCGGCACCCAAATGTGACGTTCTAACCTTTTGGTGATTCGGATGGGAATCTGGTCAGATCTGATATCAGCCTCGTCGTTCCCAACTCGCTCTAGTTGATAATCCCCAGTCCTAAAGCAACTTAGTATATTTTTTAAAACTAGCCGACATTAAAGATCTTATTATGACTTGTGTATATAAGAAATTCATCCATGACTCTTTTTTCTCGTTTCAGTAACCGCTACCGACGCCGATTCTGTACAGGGCGACACCTACTGGAGACTTTATTGCACATGGTAAAAGTTGCCGGCGGTTATCTCCTTATGCTTCTAGTCATGTCCTATAACACGTGGATTTTTGTTGCTGTCGTCTCAGGACTGACTCTCGGCTTTTTCTGTTACGGTTGGTCAATACAAGATATGCCTGCAACAGGGACAGAAACAACAGTGGTCAGCAAATCACAGGCGAAATCGAAATCAAATTCAAAGTCGAAGGGTAGCAAAGGTAAAACGAAGCAGAAAGGGAGCAGGGACAGAGGCCCTCAAAACGGGCATATGATGAGCATGAACCCACCACATTTATTAAGCCGGAATGTATTGTACCCTGGCGAGCATCAAGGACGATTTATTGCCTTGTTGGACCAAGATTTAGATGTGACGGAGGTGTGAGACTTTCGTCAGCATTGTGACTGTCGGTCTTTATAAAATCATCTATTGAAAAATGACTTGATAATAAAAGGCAAAATCTTCAATGTATTAATATAAACAAACGCACGTACACACAGAAATGGAATATATGTATATATATATATATATATATATATATATATATATATAATTTGGAAGGCACTGGTTATGCTAACACGAAGTTATAAATCATTAAGGGTTTAAGTGTAGAAACCGTTTTTCATCTACTGATCACGCCAGATTATCCATTATCTCCCAGGAACAGTAACTAAGGCATTTGAAACAGGTATTAACTAGCCATTGTAGCATATATATATATATATATATATATATAAGTGGACAGTGAGGTCAACAGAAACCGGTAACATTCATGCTTCAATGCAATCTTCAGGCCAGATGAAAACAAATTGTCCCCATTGACCTCAGTGTCCACTTTTATATTTATATATTCACTGTATCTCTGAAAATGACCACGTTTACCCATAAGTATAGCTTACCTTGAAACCAATATTTTTATCATATATATATATATATGTATATATATATATATATATATATATATATATATATATATATATATATATCACGATTATCATATAATACCCAATGCTCTGCAATTTTGTCGCAGTGCTCTTTATATATGTGTGTCGCTTAATAACTCCTTCGGGCTATTCTATTACATATATGTGCCTATATATATATATATATATATATGTGTGTGTGTGTGTCTATGTGTGTGTGTGTGTGTGTCTGTGTGTGTGTGTGTGTGTGTGTGTGTGTGTGTGTGTGTGTGTGTGTGTGTGTGTGTGTGTGTGTGTGTGTGTGTGTGTGTGTGTGTGTGTGTGTGCTACGTAAAATTTCAGGGTGTTTTACAATTCAAAACATTATTCAACCCTAAGCTAACTTTACACCTTCACCTCTAAAGTAAGCCTTGAAGTACTGCACCGTATTTCATGAAGGATTCTGTTCGAAAGTGTAAGCGGCAAAATTAGTTCGATTCCCGCGCGCTATTTAAATTTCCCGAATTTCTGTGTTGCACCTCCATAATGGCCTGTTTTACAAATTACTTTTATAATCTTCCATATTTCAGTTCGTATGCATCCAAAAAATATCATACCCACCCGTTTTTAATGATCCGTAAGGACACCAGCTCTTACAACCTTAATCGAAATGTTGCTTTCTCCACAGCTTCCTTAAATAAAAGTAAGTGGGGGGGAGTTATACATTCAAACAAATTACATGTTTGCTTCTAAAGAAATAGATTAGTTTTATTTCAATGTGTTGTTATACCCCGAGCGACGAGGTGGACTCATCTGCACGTTTATAAACGTGACAACGGAACGTGTGACTAGGGGAGATAGCAAAATTTTGACGCTCTCTCCCAATCCGATTCTCCCGGAGGGATTGGCAGAGGAGCAGAAGGGTTTCCCCCACCCCCGGAGTAGATGCTACGGTTGTAGTACCTGTTCCGTTCCGGGGCCTTCTCTCCTCCCTTGCGCTCCTCCTCCACCGTTGCGTGACATCTGTTAGCGGTGGTATGACCGGCAATGAGTAACTTAGACAAGGCCTGACCAGTGTAGACAAACTCTGATCAGCTTAAACCAGCGGCCCGAGTGAAAACACTTGAGTCCCCACGTTAAACCCGATCTTGTGTCACAGCCTGACTCAATAGCGGCTTAAGGTAAATCTCTGGGAGATAGCAAAAGCTCTGGGTTTGACAGTACACAGCTTGTCAAACTCTCTGCCTTCGGGCAGGGAGGAAACCAGATAAGTCTATGGAGAGTCTTGTTTGAGGAGGTAGACAATCTCGACCCCGTTATTACAGGGTCAACGGGGAATTTTTGCCCGAGCCTACATTAAAAAACCGGCCTAGTGCCACATCTCGCCTTGTGAGGAGGACTTGGGTAAATACTAAGATAAGCAAAACCTCTGTGTTTGTTAATATTCTACTTGTCTACCTCTCTGCCTCCGGGCTGAGAAGGACCCAGACGAAGCTATGTCGAAGGGCAGAGACTCATCGGCGGTGGTAGACAGCTACTCGGCCACGTGTATATGGGGCCTACGGCTTCGGAATCGCCTGACATTAAAAAAGGCCTTGTCTCACATCCCGCCTTGTGGGGAAATGTTCGGTAAATATCGAGACTGCAAAAGCCGTATTTCGCGGTTGTCTGAGAAAATACAGGGTGATTGAAAAGTAACCCCATATTTTATGTTTGATTGACTCTCCTGTCTAACAATAACTTTTGCAAGACGAGAGAATCCATCATGCATAAAATAGGAAGTTGCTTTTCAATCAACCTGTACAATAGTCAACTAAGGAAGTTTACTCAATAGGCACATTACATGTATCAATCCCTCTTATAATGAGTAGTTAAGCAACTATATTCATCACAACAAGACAACGAGAAACGATAAGCTTCACGCATTCATTTCAATCTCAGAAAGACATGATACTGAAGATAGCTGGATAACTAGCGGAATGTTTTAAATAATTACGCCATAGTCTTCTATTCGCTGGTGAGCGATCTCCAAGCCTCATATATTACAAAGAATTATTAAAGAAATTTAATAACTATCACTTTCGATTAATATCTCCCCCACCTTGCGAACCGAGGTCTACTCAATTCCTTCCTCATTTTCAAATGACATTCATTAAATTTTCAACATTATACATTTATAGAGGTAATTATTGAAACAGATCATTAGCATAAATTTCTTCCCTAACTGAAATTATAGGGAAAATATCCTTATTTCAAGAATGCCGAAAGAATGCCCAGTTACTCGCCTGGCTAAAATTCCTCCTTTTGTATTAGAAGTTCCGCCACAAGGAACTAAATCCTTTCCTTTTTGACAATCACTACTTTAATTGAAATTGTACATTCGACACACGCACACGTTCATTCACGGACACACATATATATATATATATATATATATATATATATATATATATATATTACGTATGTGTATAGCTCGTAATATAATCTTTCCGAATGTGCTGGTAGGGATATCAACAGTAACGTTTCATAACCGGATCATCGGAGGTTTCAATCTTTCAACATCAGAACCCCTTCCGTTATTGACAACATTAGTGGTGATGGTACCCTGATCCATCTTCCTAAAAATTGGCTACCAGGTGCGGGTGGTGCAATCGATAACGGCTCGGAGTTAGAAATCGGAGAGACAAGTTCCAATTCCAGCTGGGTTCTCTATATTCACTTACGCGCAAAATACCCTTGGGAAAGGCATGAATCCACCTCTTCTTCCCCCAACTATGGATTAATTAGTATGATTTGTATCAGTAAACTATTATTATCGCTAAAGAATTCTTACAATCTAAAAGTATTTTCTGACTTTAAATAACCTGCAAAAAGTTAAGTCGTAAAAAAACAAAAAAAAACAAATAAAAAATGGATACCACTTTGTAGATCTTCGTTCCCATTTGGTAGCATGATTGGTAATTCCAGATTGCAAATCTTTTACTGGAATCACCACCAATCAATGGCCTCCATGCATATTCATGGGATAAGTCCACTTAATGTGTTTGGGAATAACTGTGTTAAGTGTTACAATTAAAAGGGCTTCGAGGTTCTTGTCCCTGTAGTGGGTTTCTTGGTCTTAATCTTCCTCCATTTCCCGCTATTTTTTCTCGTTGTTATAAGCGAATAAAAAATGGTGAATATACGCTCATAATACTACCGACCAACTCAATAATGATTCCAACTGAAGATAATTTATCTAATTTGCATATATTTTTCTTACAACTTCTTCGAAATCAGTATGAAATCTATTTATATTTTTTTACGGGCACTCATAAACAGTTAAGTTGGTTTTAAGGCTCCAAGTTATCCACTGAGAATTGTCCCAGTGGATTAAAGCGTTGATTCGTGAATTTGATATAATTGCAACATCACTTCCTGAGCCTAGTTCAACTCGGTGTAAACGGAGCAAGCATAAACTGAGCAGTACTGAATAATAACTAAACGAGATATCTCGAGACATGGTCTACAGAACGAGAACAATGTACCTCGATCGATTAAATAAATTCTCTGAAGCTTATTTACAGTAAAATTACTAACAATACATGTTTATAGTCAAATTACCAATACTTATTTATGGTATAATTACCACTAATAACTTTTTATAGTAAAATTGCAAACAATATCTATTTATAGTAAAATTACTAGTAATAAGTATTTATAGTAGAATTACCAACAATACATTTTTATAGTAATATTACCAACAATACACATTTATAAAAAATTACCAACAATACCTATTTATAGTAAAATTATCAATACATTTTTATAGTAAAATTACCAACAGTACCTTCTTATAGTAAAATTACCAACAGTACCTTCTTATAGTAAAATTACCAACAGTACCTTCTTATAGTAAAATTACCAACAATACATATTTATAGTAAACTTAGCGACAATACATTTTATCGATTGGTGACAGCATACAATTGCGTTAACAATATATTTAATTAAAGTCATAACTGTGTTCAAAATATTTAGATTTCATGATTAAATACCCCATGATATGTCGCTAAAAAAATCATCCAACCCGGATCGGCAAGCACCTTAAGAAGGCCGTAGGGCACAGCGGCCGAAACGTTGGGACAATAATAATGAAAATAATAGTCCACTTGTGAATAATGTAAATAATAACTACTTATCGTAAAAAATTTAATTTCATTAAAACAAAACAAAATAATAACAAACTTATACCTATAGAAGAAATTATGAAACAGACTTAAAAAATATCTCACAAGAAGTACATCGGTAAAACATCCAGAAATTAAAAGACATAAAAGTTTACACGAATATAAATGCGATCTTTTACAAAGCAATTCATCCGATTCGGTCATTGTTCATCGTAATACTTAAAGCAGTTTTAACGTGTGTATCTATGTGGCATACGACGGTTTAGAGAGAACATGGATCTGCGCCCAAAGAGTTATGACTCAGCTGCTGATG